CCCCCGCCACGCCCCCGCCCCATCTGCTTCCGCACCCTGTCGCAGATCCCCATCACCCCCGTTCTCCTCCTCCTCGTCGCCCCGCCCTGCGGCGCCCCCCCACCGCGCCCGCTGCGCCGCGCCGAGCTCATTACGCGCCGCGGCGAGCGCCCGCAGCGCCTCTGACAGCGGCGCGCGGCCCTCGAGCTCAAAGGCGGAGCCGTCCGTCAGCCGCACCGCTGCGGGGCGGGCGTGGCCGTGCAGAAGCACCTCTCGTAGCAAAGGGGCGCCCGGGGGCGGCGCCGCGAGCGGCGCCAGCTGGCGGCGCAGCCTGGGGGGTCGCGGGTCGGGGGTTGAGCGGGTTTGTTGGGTGGGTGGGCGGGTGGTGACGGGAAGATGCGAGGGCGGGGGGAAGCTAGCGGCCGCGAGCACGGGCTTAGGATGACGTGCATGCGGTCATGTCAGGTCACCTTGATGCACGCGCTGCGTAGGTGGCTGCGGCTGCACGCGCCCAAGCATGCACACACACACACGCCCACACGCCGCGCAATGATTTCGGGGCGTCCCTCAGAAACCAGTGCTTGCAGCCAGCCGCAGCTGCCTGGGGCGCCGCAACCCTCCACTTCTACATACAATGCTCCCATACAATGCTCCCCTCAGTGAATGAATCCGCCGCACCTTTCCGGCAGCAGAAGCAGCAGCGACGCAGCGGCCTCGTCGATTGGGTGCCCTGCCGGCGGCCCCGCTTGCCGCGTACCCCCTGCCCCCCCTTGCATGGCCCCCAAGCCGCCCGCCTCAGCGTCCCAAAACACCTGCTGCCGCCCGTCCGCCGCCCCCCCAGCTTCTGCAAGCCCGCCGACCTGCGCCGCCCCCTCGTCTGCCGCCTCGTCAGCCGGCCCCGGCGTCGCCGCGGCGGCGGCTGCGGCGCCTTGGGCAGCCTGAAAACACCACTCGTCTTGCTGCTCCTGCTCCTCCTGCTGCTGCTCCTCCTCCTCCTGCTGCTGCTCATCCTGCTGCTCTGCTTCCTGCTCCTCCTGCTGCTCCTCCTGCGCATCCTGCTGCTGCTGCTGCTGCTGCCGCCCGCCCCGGTCGTTGTGCAAAAGGTGCCCGCCGCCGCTGGGCCCCGCACGCCCTCCCCGGTCCGGCCCCCCTCCCAACAGCTCAATCGACGCTTCTGCTGCCGTAGCGCCGCTGCCGCCGCCTGCACCGCCGCCGCCGCCGCCACCCTGCCGGCTACTGAGCTGCGGCCGCGGCGCCCCGCCGCATGGGTCCCAACTAAGGCGCCGGCGCAGGCTGGGGGGCCAGCGGTTGGCAAGGCACGCGCGCGGCAGTGAGGGCGCGGCAGCACGGCCGACCAGAGATCACCACGACACCCGGCCCTCCGCCCTCTGACGGCTTTGCGCTTCCATCCCCCACCTGCAGCTGTGCAGGGGTTCAACTGCACCCGCAGCCTCGCGGCTCCCAATCTGACAGATGCATGGCGTTGGGGCATCAAGTGCCCGGGCGGCGCCCCGATGGGCTCCGCAGGCAAGCGCGCCTGCCCAGCACCGCCATGCCCACCTGTCTGGCAGCTTGTCAACCTCCGGCGGCGGCGGTCCAGCGGGGCGGCTGCGCTCCAACAAGGGGCCCCCGTCGCCCCTGCCGCCGGCAGCACCGCGGCCGCCGCCGCCGCCACCGCCTGCGTCGCCGTCGCCGCCGCGCCTTGCTATTGGCGCGTATGAGGGGACCCCTCGATCGTCCACCACCAACTCAAAAAGCCCCCGCCATTTGTCCAACCAGCCGCCCCCGCCGCCCGAGGCCCCGCCGCCGCGGCCGTTGGCCGCCGCGCGCCCGGCGCCTGCTGGCGGCACAACCGCGGTGGCGGCGCGTCGCAGCTGCTGCTGCTGCTCCGGCAACGCCCGCTCGTCTTCCTCGTCGGAGTCCAAGATCTCAATGATGTCATAGGGCTGCCCCAGCTGCTGCTGCTGCTGCTGCTGCTGCTGCTGCTGCTGCTGCTGCTGCTGCTGCTGCGCCTGCTGCTGCGCCTGTTGCTGCTGCATGGCCTCAGGTTGCGTCCCGTAAAGTTCTTCAAGCAACGGCCGCGGGTCCAACACCAGCAAATACTTGGTCCTGTTTTGGCGGCTCTGCACGCGCGTGAGCGCACAGTTGTGCGCCACGCTCGCGCTCAGCAGAAGGGTGCTGATATCGGGCCACCCGCCGGCGGGGCCCGCGCCGCGGGCGCCGCGCCAGTCCTTGAGCGCGTTGCCTGGTGTGCGGGCGCGCGCTCGCAGAGGTGTGTGGGCGAGTGCGGCGGCGGCTCCGGTCCGCCAACGCCGGTCAGGGCCGCTGCTCGCCGCAGCTGTCGGCGCGCCACGTTTGAACGGCACCAGCAGCCAGAGCTTCAACCGCCCGAATTCATAAACAGTTGACCCGCCCAGTTATTTGCATGGCGCAGTGGACCCTGAATTAAGGGCCACTGACGCTCACCCGCTGCCCCGAGATCCATGGTGAAGCACCCATCAGCGCGCAGCGCGCCCCGCGCTGCGACCGCGGCGCGCGCCAGCACGTTCAGCTGCTGCGTCACCAGGCCGCCGCCGTCCGGCGGCCAGTGGCGGTCGATCGCCGCGAGCACGTCCGCGAGCGGCGCGCTGCGCCCGTCCATGGCCGGGGTCGCCTCGCGGCGGCAACGCCGGCGGGGTGACGCGGGTTGAGACTTGTGCTTGGCGCGACGAGCAGGCCTGGCGGTTTGGCGTTGCCGAGGATTCGGCAGATAACGGATCAGGCTACGTCCTCAAATCATGATGTCCTGCAGGTCGGGTTTGATGCCAACGCGGTATAGAAATGAATGCCGTTCGTCAAGGCGTGCTGCTCACGGGTAACACGGATCAATAGTTGCGTGACGATGAATGCTGGGGTACATAGGTTACCGCAGTGTGTATGCAGAATCTACATAGCGGATGCAGCACTGACTGCGAATGCGCGGCCCCTGCTGTGTACGCTGTGCGCTGTGCATGAGTGCAGCGGCTGGCAGCACGAGCGGCGGTGCCCGTCAATGCATCAGAGACTGTGCAACGAAGGGAGTGCCTCAGGGATCAACACGAAATTGTACGGCATGCAGCTGGGACCGGGTCAACCCTGAAGCCCAGAAACCACAACAGTTCAGCCTTCTCCTTGTGCACCCCTGCTACAGTACCTCATGTGGGGTGCACAGGGACGGTGCGGCGCCAAGCGGGACGCCCCCAGCCGAGTGGGATCTCGCAGCTTGGAGTTTTCAGGCTTGCAGCATATCCTTATGTGCACCTTCCAGCCATCGAAAATCCCCGTGGATATCACCACACACCCTTGCGCTTGACTGTTTTGGTACTGCTGGCCACTTGCACAGCAAATGGCAGTGCCAACACCCTTCAGGCGGCCAGACTCGTAACAAGACCATGTACATTGGCTGCGAATACTTGTGTAACGCAGCACCGTTTCGGGTGGCGGCGCTGGGCGGGCTCTTCCCAGCAGTGTGGCAAAGTGCTCTCCGCCCCCCACATGAACTACGGTAGAAGGGAGGAAGGGACCACTTTTCGCCGTGACGCGGCTATCACCCAGTTTACCAGCGGGTGATCGACCCCCAAATCACAAACATTACAACAACTACTTTCAATCAAGCTGTCTGCATCGATCAAACTCCTTGCTAGCACCCTTTTCGAGTGCCTCACACGTACAGTACTCGCCGCTTATCCATCTTGCCGGCACACGTTAAAACCCGGTGACTCATGCTGTAAAGCAATAAACAGATTTATAGAGCCTCTTCAGCATATGACAGAAGGCCTGAGAGGCACCACCACGGAGGCCCTTCTCCGGGGCGCACTGCGAAGCTCGAAGTGGACCCCGCCGCGGGTTGGATAAGAAAGTCGCAAAGGCCAGCCATGGGTCAGACGCATAGCGTAGAAGGTATGTTTCACAGCCATGATACCTCTGACAGCGGCCAGTGCGGCGCTGTGACGTCAGGACCGCGCTTGGCACGGAGGCTTTTGCGTCGGCAGCCCCGGCAGAGCGCTGGTCGCAAAGGGGCCCACACCGCTGCGCCCGAGGCGCTCCTGGCACCGCGGACTGCCTCAGAAGCCGAACGGACGGCGGCGTTTGTGGGGTCGCTTGCCCTGGCGGACTGCCCGGCACCCCCTGAGCTGGAAAACGTCCTGACCCTGATGACTGGCATTTTTGGCGCGCGCACGGCGGCGCTCGCCCTTTTTGATGAGAAGCGGGTGCGCCGGGCAGGCTGCTGCACCCCAGGGCCATCCAATCATGGGCGCTGTCAGCGGGCCAGAATACCGGGGGAGCTTTGGACGCAGGAAGCGAGGCGCGGGCGCCTCAGTTTTCATTGCAAAGTCAGGCCGCCGCGCAATGTGAACCCACTACACCAGTCACGCTTGTGCTGTTTTGTACCAGCCGCGCCTCTCCCCGCCCCCCCTCCCCTGTCTTAATGCCAAACCCGCAGATCTGGACAAAGAGCGATCTGGGCGGGCAGGTAGGCTGTGCGCCTGCCAGCATACGTATCTCGCAGCGGCGCCGCAGCTGGCCGGCCGGGCAGCGTCGGCGGCAGCCGCCAAGCAGGCCGGCGGCCACGCCGCTGCCCACCCCCCCGCGCGTGCAAGCGAATTTTCCTTACGGCGCGCCGCGCCGCCCGCCGCTGGCAGTTGGCCGCCGCTATCTATATTCCAAGCGGCGCCGCCGACGCCGCACCCGCCCCCTGCGTGCCCCTCGTCCTTCGTCCCAACCGCAGGCCGTGGCCGCCGGCGCCGAGTGGCACAAGAGCGTCTGCTGCTGGCCGTTCTTGGCGGGCGGTCCGGCGCCGCTGATAGTCCCCGCGATGCGAGAGGACCCCAGGCGAGCGGGCGGGCGTCTCCAGCGCCGTGTGGCTTCGTTGCGCCGCACCCCGCAGCGCGCATTTGCGCTGGCAGACCGCCCTCAGGGGCGGCAACCCACCCCTGCCTGCGCTCGGGGCCCCGCCTGCCCGCCTGCCAACATGCTGCCCATGATGCTATTCGTGGCTGCAGGTTTGCCAGCCGCCCCTGTGTGCTGTCCGGCGCCGTGAGCTTCTACGCTGGTGAGCACTGGCACAGCAAGGCGTGTCGCTCGATGGCGGGGGCAGCGGTGCGGCCGGAGCCGACGCGTGCATGTGGGCACAGCCCCCGGGCCGGCAGGCGGACCTCCACCGCCCAAATGCGCACGCCTCCATGCAGGGGTGGGTGGGTTGGAGGGGCTGCGGGATTTTTGGTCGCTTCGAGCCCGTGACAGCTACCGCAAGACACGGGCCCCTGTCGCCCCTGATGACGATGCATTTCGACAAAACCCTGTCCCACACACGCACACACATGTGCAACTGTCACCACGCGCAGGCGCCCCCTTGGTCACCAAAGAGGGGCGGCTGCTGGGTGTCGTCTGCTGCGCCGACCCGGCGCCACGCGCCCTCGGCTGCACTGAGTCGCAGGTGACAAGCGAAGGGACCGAGGGGTTCGGGCTCGGGTGTTGCGCCGGAAGGCGGGCAGGCCGCGAGGGGGCGGAGATGCCAAATGGCAGTACAGCGGCAGCAACGGGCCCAAAGACCCGTCCTGACGCTGATGGAGCCCTAACTCATCGCAAGCCGGCGGGTGTCGACGTCGCGCGCGCCCGCCCGCCCGCCTTCCGCGCCGCACCTGTCACCTTCCCGCACGGCCGCCGCACACGTGAAGTATTCATTCTCCCCATGCTGCATCGCGTACTGTATCATCCCCTGACATCTTGCATGTCCCTAACAGCCACATGTTGCTGCATCGATTTTCCCGCATCCCCCCGCCCTCCCAGCTTGCCATTCTGTCGAAATTTGCAGACGTGGTGGCCCAAAAGCTGGAAAGCAGCGCGCGCCTGTCCACTGCGGTCGTGGACGCCGCTCTCTCAGCTGTTTCGCCCCCCGTGCGCGCCCTCAGCCTGGATGGCAGCTTCCCCAGCGGCGGCAGCAGCTTCAGCTTGGGCAGCCGCGGCGGCGGCGGCGGCTGCGGCGGCGGCCGCGGCGCGGGGGCAGGCGCGGGCGTCACCGTCAGCAGCAAAAGCTTCAGCACTATGACGAGCCGCGGCAGCTGGCTGGACGGCAGATGCCACAGTGGGGCGTGCCACCCCCTGCCGCCGCTGCCCAACCGCCGTTCTGCTGCCGCGGCCGTCACGGAGCTCTTAGTCAGCAGCCGCAGCAGCAGCGGAGCGTTCGCGGGCGCCGCGGCCCTGGCGGGCGGCGGCGGGCGCGGCTCCGGGGCGCCGTCCGAGGCGGCCTGCGGCGCGTGCCCTGTGCCGGGCCTGAAAATTGGGTCTCAGCTGTCGAGCGGCTCCTATGGCAGGTGATGAGTACTCACAGCGCGGAGACCGGCGGCAGCGCCGACCGCCTACTGATCACAGACATAGAATCCGTTCAATGGTCTTGCCAACTCGAAGCCCGCTCAGTATGCATTCCGCCGGAGCCGAATGCAAACCCTTGCTGTTGGCTCCCGCTGTGCACACCCCGGGCTAGGTCTGACGCAGGGCGCCGGATGACAGGAGCCGTTTCAGCATCCCAACCGTTTTCTTGTGACCGCGCAACAACCGCCCCGTCTTCCTGCCGCCAGGGTGTTCACTGGCAAGTACTTTGGCAGCAGGGTGGCCGTGAAGGTCCTGGAGGAGAGCGCTGTGCACAAGAGGTGACTGTGTGATTGTGTGTGTGTGTGTGTATGTGTGTGTGTGTGTGTATGTGTGTGTGTGCGTGCGTTCGTGCGTGTGTGCGTGCGTGCGTGCTGGGGGTTAAGTGTGCATATGGAGGCGCAACTTTAGGTTTTGGACGCGTGACGGGTACAACGTTTGTGCACACGTTGCAGTCATGACCCCCAGCTGACCTGTGACGGCCCCGGCCCGAGCTGCCATGCCGCACGGCAGGGCGCCTGCTAACGCCAGGCTGGCAGTGACCAGCCGCACTTGCGCTTTGCCTCGCCGTGCAACCATGCTTCTGCTTGGGCACATTGTCCGGTTTGCTCCAAGACGCACTAACCCCTGCCCCCTACCCTCCTGTACAGAGACGAGGCCACTGGGGCATCCTTTGAGGCGGTGCTGTCGCGGGCCCTCAGCCACCCGCACATCGTTTCGACGCTGACGTGGCGCTGCGTAACCGGGGAGGTGCGCCTGCGCCTCATGCCTGACCGAGCTCTGCTGCCCGGGGGGGGGGGGCAGGGGGGCGTTTTTGCTGCGAAAAGGAGCGACGCGGCAGGGCGTTTGGAGCGCGGGCAAGGACGCCGTCAGACTGCGAATAAGCAAGGTCTGAACACGGGGACCAGTCATCTCGGCTCAGAGCGCCTCGCAGCAGGTGCAGACGCGTGCGCTGGTCACCTTCAAAACCCGCGCCCCCGCAACCTGCTGCCAATGTTGCCCGCGCGCTCATGCGACCGGCGGCCTGCTCGCCCACACGCAGGCTCGCCTGCCCAAGCCGGAGTGGGAGCTGGTTGGCGAGTCACTGCCTGCGTCCGAGAAGGTGTCAGGCAGCTGCATCGCAAACCCCGCATCCCAGGACGACGCCGCAGCAGGCCCCGCCAGCCTCGCCGACGCCGGCTGCAGCCGCATCCGTGGCCGCAGCGGCGCCGGCAGCCCCGGCGTCAGTGGCAGCATCGGGCGCGGCAGCTGCGCGGACGCCGCCTCTTCGGATGCCGGTTCGCACATGGACATTTCGTTCGCGCTGGGCCTCGCCGCCGGCGGCCTGCGCGTCGGATCGAGCTTCTCCCTGCGCTCATCGCCTCTTGGGCGCCTGGACAGCGGCGTCCATATGTCGGGGCCCCTGGGGGGTGCAGCCAGCGCCAGCGGGAGCAGCCGGGGCTTCTGGTCGCGCGGCTGCGAAGGGCAGACGTGGATAGGTGCGCGCTTGCGTGGGGCCCGGGGGGCGGGGAGGGCGGGGACGAGACGGCTGAGGTCGAAGGGCCTCTTGGGAGGCAAGGGGAGGTGGTGGGGCGTCACCCCTAATCCGCTTGTGGTGCCGGTGGCCTTTCTTCAGGGTTTTCTTCAATGTCTTTGCAGGTTTGCTTGCCACTGCTATTTTTCAAGATGCCATCTAATGCAGTGCCCGCCTCGCTGCACGCATGGCGCGTGGTTGCCGTGATTTCGTCACTCTTCTTGCAATGACGTCAGTCCTGGAGTATTGCGACAAGGGCTGCCTGCAGGTGGGTGAGGCGCACCTGTGCGGCTGCGGCTGTGCGGCTGCGGTTGAGGCTGCGGTTGCAATTGTGTAGCTGCGGCTGCGGCTGCGGCTGCGGCTGCGGCTGCGGCTGCGGCTGCGGCTGCGGCTGCGGCTGACGGCCCCATTGCACAAGCAGGCGTGCTGCTACACGAGGCGCGTGCAGCCAATGCCCAGCCGCACCGCACCAACGGTGGCGCGGGCGGCCGAACGAAGGCTTGGGGGCTAGGTGTGCACCCAATTGCCGGCCAGCTGGAATATGCCCTGCCAAGCCCCTCTTGCGTGCGCCCAAATTTCTGGGAAAAACGCAGGATGCTATTGACAAGGGCTGGCTGCGTAGCGGCCCTGAGTGCGGCGAGGGCGAGGCTGAGCTGCTTTCAGTCCTCACGACCGCCAGAGAGGTGTGAGACGCCGCCGACGCCATTTCCCGAGCTTTGGCCTCCACGTGCTTGCGCATGCACTGAGCATACTTGATTACTGGTGGGCACATACAAGCAGGCAAACTGCATTTGCACCTGCAACAACCCGCAAAAATCCAACTTCACGCACTGCTTCGCAACCCACCCCCAGATTGCTGCCGCCATGTCGTACCTCCACGACCTGGACATCGTCCACGGGGACCTCTCATCGTTCAACGTGCTGCTCACCAGCGCAAGCACAGAGGCCGCGCGCGCGTCGCGCGGCTTCAGCGCCAAGGTGTCTGGTGCGTGACGGCAGGTTGACTAGCAGAGGGGGGCGGCCGCCTCACGGCCACATTCTGTGTTGATCCGCTTGCCACGCACTGAGGGCAGCTCTTGATTGTCTTGAGGCGACGCTTGACCCCGCGCAGGTGCTTTCACTGCAGTAGGACCCCCATACAGTCGCCACATCTGTCTGGTTGATGCCTCTCACCGTGCCCCCGCCGCTGCCGGCCGTCGCAGATTTTGGTTTGGCGCGCTGCCTGGACCACAAGAGTCGCGTGGCGACACTCGCCCATGGCACGATTTCACACGTGAGAGCAGGATTTTATGTAGATCACACAGGACATCTTACAGCGTGATTGCATCCATTCATCTCAAACTGGAGTGCCACTGCAGGCTTGCCCATGCACGCAGGACATCTTGGTCTGGGTGTCCACCAACCTCTGTCTAACCAACTGCTGACAGCATTGCTTTTCGATTCTCCCAATTTGACAGATGGCGCCCGAAGTGCTGGAGCGGGGCGTGGTGTCCAAGGCAGCTGATGTCTACTCGTTTGGGGTGCTGCTCTGGCAGGTGCGACATGCTTCCTGGTCTGCTTCGATTTCAGCAGAGGTCACAGAGCTAGCTACACAGTTGCGGCGCTTGACCGTGTTTGACCGGCGTTTGTTGCCCTCACTTTTCTTGGGGCTTGCCCCCTGATAAGGTTCCACCGCTTGTGTTGCTGCAACATATGGCTGTTGTGCTGCACTCAGTTCCAGCTGGCGTCCAGGCCCAAGGCTGGATGCCCGATTGTGCAATCTCAATCAAACTTCCGACGTTCTCGCCGTGCTCTTCAACCCGGCAGATGTTCGCCGGCCGCCGCGCGTGGGCGGGCCTGACTCACGCCGCCATCGTCAAGACCGTCTGCGCCGAGGGCCGCCGCCTGGAGTTTGGCCCCGAGACGCACGAGGGTGTCGCCCTGCTGGCCCAGGCCTGCATGGCGCGGGACCCCCAGGAGCGCCCCTCCTTCAGGGAGGTGCTGGAAGTCCTGGAGCCACTGGGGGCTGACCTCCACAGCGGGTCCTTTTTGGGTTTCAGCACGCGCGCCACCCGCAGCCGCGGCGGCGCCGGCGCCGGCGGCGGGTTGCCTTACGACCCGCGTCTGGTCGGAGAGGACGTCGGGGGCGGCAGCGAGGCGGACGAGTGATGGCCCGCCCAGCGGCACAGCGTTCGGCGAGGCGACGCCTTTGGAAGCCCCCGATGAGGTGTGGCCCGCGCTGCTGCAGCTCCCACTCACCCAGGGGGGCGGTGCTGGCTGGGGCCCGCGCCAAGCGGCACTGAGCTTGGCTGGCGGTCAAGCTGAGTGGGCTGTTGCCCTCATCCTACAAGGTTATGACTACAACATTTAAACGCTTGCAGATTGCGTCAGTGCACGATGGGTCCGCAGGCGGACGCTTCGGCCCGCCACAGCGGCGTGCAAGATTGCTGAGGGGGAGGCGGCGCCTGTGACTTGAAGGAGCTTATATGTTTGAGCATTCTACATGATTCGGCCGCCGCCGTGGCGCTCGCGGGGAATTGAGCATGTGCCGACAAGGCGGTTGAGGGAAGGAGCTTTGTTTTTGCCGTGCCATTCAGCACCCCGCATGCCCAGTGAGAGCGTCGCCCGCCGGGGTTGCACTTGCGCGGGCTGCGGGCCGCAGGGCTGCGAGCTTCTTGCCGCCGGTGGTTCAGGGTCTGTTGAGCCTACCACCATGAATATATTTATCATCATTTGTGCCAAGAGATCGAGCAAGCGCATTGTGCCGTCTTCTTGCGACTGCTCTATTTGTTAAACTGTTGCTTGACTAGCCCTAATGAAACACACCGTCTCACGCGCTTCATTCAAGCAACGCCGCGGCAGCCCATCGGCCCCAATGCGGTTGTTGCTGCGCACCACTCTCATTATGCACATCACATACTCACCTCGGCCGTGCTCGATCGCGCTGAAAGGGCCGCTTGTCATCATCAATGGCTGTTCTGGAAGCTTTTCGCGAGCTCGTTTGGGCCGCATCCAGCTCGTGCATTGTTTGCATGGGGCCCTGATGATTGGCCTTATGTTGCCACCCGCCACGTATCAACAACTATGCGCGCCCCTTGAAGCGCCACCCCTATCCTCGCTGGCTCAATCACATGCCAGCAAGCAATCTCACCGCATGGATCACCCCTCAAAAGCGCCGAACCCGAGTTTGGCACGGCGCCCGTCGCGCCTGCAAGTGCGTGGGCAAAAGAATGAAGCTGCGGCCTGATCATCACATGCCTCGCAAGGACTCTCTGCTTTGGTGCACTGCTCTTTGTGGCGTGCTGGGCCCTACTTGCTTGTGTCTGGTCGCCCGATTTGGAACTGCTCGCCAAATCCAGGGGCTGCGCTGTCGCTGGCACCGCAGGTGCGCGCCTGCAGCTTCTACCTCAGGGGCCCTCACACTCGTGCTGGCCCTTGGTACTGGACACGTGGGTTTATACGGCAACGCTCACTTGGCTCGACTCCCATCCTGGCAATGAACCGTGTCCCCACGCTGGAAAAGCACTTCAGTGATGGGACGCCAGCCATCTACCTCCACCCCAACCCCCACGTTCACCATCTTGCTGAGTGCGTCACAAGCTGCAATCTCACTCGCAGCCGTTTCTAATCAGCATTGACCATTTTTACCATCCATCAGGGTATGCCGAGGTTAGATCATTGCATCCATTTGGTCACCAACGACCGCATCGTCCCTCACGGCTTTTCGTTTCCCTCTTTCTGATACGTCTACTGCATTGCGCTCTGCCTCCAGGGGCTGCAGGACCCTGTGCCACCTATCTAACTGCGCGCCCGCGCCGCTAATATCGGCCTGTGCCGAGCCGCCCTGCGTTTGAGCGCTGGGGGGTGGCTGCTTGGTGGGTCATTCAGAACCCTCACCCCAGCCGCATCGCTGGAGCACCCCAGCAGGGCACCAACGCGTGCATCCACCATTATAGTTGCTGCCGCCTTGTCCCGCCGCGCAGTCCAAGGCTACCTAACTGCGAGCTTTTGCGTGCAAACTCCGGGGCTTGCTTGTTTGGCAGCGGCGTCAACACGGACGCGTATGCATCTGTTACGCGCTCGCTCTGCTCGGGGATGGGGGATTGATGCAGGTGCATTTGCATGCCGTGCAACAGGCTTGGCAAGCCGGCTGCAGTCGCGTTGTGTTTGTCGATTGCTGCTTTGTTAGGTTGTGCCCCGAATGCGTTGTGATGAGTGAACTGATGCTATCATAAAGGGGAGGTTTTACAACTGTGGCAACTTGAGTCCATACGTAGTGCTTGGATAATCTGGCTGAGCACCGGCTGGCCAACCCAATTTTATGTGTGTAACCATTGAGTGGTGACGACGGGTGATGATGCCGCAGTTGCACTGGAGTTTTAGCATAGCACAGCACTCTAACCTTGCAGCAGGGCAGACGTTCTCGAATGCAACTGAGCACTGTTTTGGAATATATAATGTGGTATTGCACCGAAACATTATCAACACACTGCACCAGCGGCGCGCCATTCATGCTATCAATCTGCAGGCCGCCGCACTCAGGGCATAGCCTATGCCCAACCTGAGGTTGGGCCCGTTGTCAGCACCTCGCCATGGCCAAAATGCCGCCTTACTTGCTGCCAGCCGCTGCCAGCCCCACTGATGTACAAGCCGGGCAGCCTGCAAAAATGATACACAAGCGGCCAACGTTTACAAAGCGGTCGGCACGCACGCGCCAACACATCATCGTGCACATACTAGCATGCTGGTGTGCACCTGATGCCCGAGCCCTTCGGCAGCTTCAAGTAAGGCAGTTGAACCAACACTGTCACTCCAATGGCGGCACATACAGCTGTCCACCAGCGGGCGCACGTTTGCCAAGGAGCTGTACTTGTGCAAAGCATGACAGCGCAGTGCTCAGAGGCCAACACCCGGCCAGCTTGTTCAAAACACTGCCGGCCGCCGACGCCGGTGACGGGCTGCTGGCTGTGCAGGCGGTGGGTGGGTTGCAGTACAAATCCTCGGTGTGCACGTGCAATGGAAGCCAATCAGGTAGTGCTTAAGCTCCGACAACGGAGTTGTCGAGATGTCCGCACAAAACCTAAAGCGGCTCGGATATCGTAAGCGACAGCGCCACAAGCGTGCCGCCTCAAGCTGGTTGCGGGCAATGCAAGGACAGATTGGTGCAGTGCGGTTGCCTGCCGACAGCGCCTTTGGAACACTGAAAGTCTCGGGGACAAATTGATGGTCGTGACTTAATAATCCTGATGTTATGTAAACCCTAAACCCTGAACCCATATTGGCGTGCAGGTAGGTGTTGACAGGTGTGCCTAATCAGTGTGTCTTTTGAGGTGTGTGCGCGCTATCAAGGGGGTGGGGGTGCCATCACAGGAGGACCCCTGCTTTATGGGCAGGGCCGCATCAGGGCGGCTGGTTCGCAGTCAGGGTTGCAGGTGCTAGCTATCAATAATTGGCTCCTGGCGGCAAGCGGTCAGCGCCTGGAGGCGACCTGGCGTTATTTGATGCAGGGCAGTGTGCAGCGGCGGCGGGGCCAATGACATTGTGATGGATGCGGCAAGGGCAAGCATAGCCTGCGGCGCTCGGGCATGCCCGGCAGCCATGAATGAACACAGCGGGCGGAGTCTTAGACGTCAGCTCGCGGCCGCCGCCAAGGCGCTTTGCTCCCGCGAATCCACTGCACGCACGTGTGTGCCCACCGCATCTACCTGTGTGTAAGACATAAACACTGGCAAGGCGTGCTCAGCCTGCAACCTTCTGATTATGAATTGGCCAAAGGGGCCTACGGTCTCGTTTTGAGGCACAAGAGGGTGCGAGGAAACTGTTGGGGCACTTGTCAGCACACATCTGAGCAGCACGGCGGCTGCCTTCAATGGCAACAAATTGTTGGCAGTGACCCAGTGGTGTCTTGGTGGCGAGCAATCGGCTGACTTCCCCTGCCAAAGGGGCAGGGGGGGGCAGCCGGCACTGAAAGGGTCTTCTTGCGCGCAGTGTAATTGACACACAGCAGCAGCGACTTTATTTCGGCTTGCGCCGTGTCAAGGCCACAGCCTGTTGACGAGTGGCACAGTGTACAAGCGGGAGCCATCTGACCACAACCTCGGGCGCACATACGCACCGAGTGACAGCAAGCAACAACTGAAAAGCACAGGTGGCAAGGCGCTCGTCGCCGCCACTGGCAAAGCGCAGTGCAGCATGGCAGCGTTTCGCAACTTGGCGATATTGCTGGGGCGGAGGCCGCGCCGCAATAGCAGGGGCAGCGAGCACGGAAAGGCAACCCCCACTGGCAAACCCCAGGGCCGTGGGCCTACAGCATTCTTGAATTGGATTTGTTGGTGCCACATGTGCTACGCCACGGCTCCTGGCCAACCCGCGGATCGTGCGGGGTGTGTGGAGCGTGCGCGCAAAAATCACTCCAATCCTCCCACCACAGTGTGGTGGTACCCTGCGTGACACCGTCTCTACTTTTTAGTGAGAGCGGCACCTACGCAGTTGCAGTGCCAGAGAGCGCAGCTCAATTGCAGTGCCAGAGAGCGCATCCACGTTTTTATTTCCCGCACGTGCCGCAACGGGCACTGCCTTTGCAGCCACGTGGTCGCAAGCCCAAGTGGCGGCGCTTCACACGTGCGCCGCAGCTCATGGAACTCTTCTGATTATGTCTGAGCTCGGTGTTCTGCCCTCCAGCTTTCCTCCGGTCGTCCCCGGCCATGCAGGCACCGCCACTGAAGGGCACGGCGCAGAGTCGATCAGGGCGGCCCCCAGTGGCTCCAGGACTTCCAGCACCTCCCTGAAGGAGGGGCGCTCCCGGGGGTCCCGCGCCATGCAGGCCTGGGCCAGCAGGGCGACACCCTCGTGGGTCTCGGGGCCAAACTCCAGGCGGCGGCCCTCGGCGCAGACGGCCTTGACGATGGCGGCGTGAGTCAGGCCCGCCCACACGCGGCGGCCGGCGCACATCTGCGGGATTTAGGGGCGCGGGAAAGCAGGAAGGTGAACAAGATTGAAATATTGGGAATCAGGTCCTGGGTCTGCATGCTACATGGGACCAGGTGCGGCGCAAACACCGTTTGTCGCTGCAGCACGACCAGCTGCGGACCCATCTGAGAACAAGTTTCCACGGGTGAGGGGAAAATGGCGGGGCCGCGCTGTGGGCGCATGGGAGGCCCTGCGCTGTGTAGCTGAAAGGAAGCAGCCTGTGAAGCGCGCCGCACCTGCCAGAGCACCACCCCAAAGGAGTAGACGTCCGCAGCCTTGGAAAGCTCGCCCCGCTCCAGCACCTCGGGGGCCATCTGTCAGTTTGGATGATGCAAACAGGTATGCGGCAGTGAGTCATCAGGGGCTAGACACCCAGGCCTATTAGGGTCAATATTTTTGCGCCAATCTGCGGAGATGCTGCCACAAATGAGTGCAGGCGTGCATGGTTGAAACTTCCTCTAACATAAATAAGATGTGATGTGAACCCTTGATCTCACGTGTGATACGGTGCCGTGGGTGGCCGTCTCAACGCGGCTCTTGTGGTCTAGGCAGCGCGCCACGCCAAAGTCTGCGGCGGCAGGCGGCGGCAGGGGCGCATGAGAGACAGAAATCAGAAAGACGAGCAGACGCCCTGGGAAGAACGTTGCACCGATGCCGTCTCTACAGATGGCGATGCACATGTGCTGAGTCAGGCTCCATCTCAACATCAAAGCAAGCCGCCCGCCCTGAGCACCTAAAAGCAGCCGCGGCTGTCTGTAGGACCTGCAGACCACCCCCTTCCCCAAAATTGACTGGCCTGCCGTTACTCACCAGACACCTTGGCGCTGAAGCCGCGGGACGCGCGCGCGGCCTCTGTGCTTGCGCTGGTGAGCAGCACGTTGAACGATGAGAGGCCCCCGTGGACGATGTCCAGGTCGTGGAGGTACGACATGGCGGCAGCAATCTGGGGAAGAGGTGCCGAGGGTTTCAGGGACAGGATGGATGTTAGGTAGTGCCTTTGGAAATTTCAAGGTTGTAGCCAATCGTGTGTCGGTGTGTGTGTACGCGCGTGCGTGCGTGCGTGCGTGTGTACGTGTGGGTCAAATGGGCACCCGCGTGCTGGTATGCGCTTCGCTGTGTATACACCTCGCAGGCGCACTACGCCGCCTGCGCGCAGGCATGCCAGCAAGCCCCTGCACGCGACGCCGCAAGAGCCCATGACACACACACACACACCTCGCGCGCTGTGGTGAGGACAGCCCAAATGTCTGCCTCCCCATTGCAGGGTGCAGGGCTGCTGCGCAGCCAGCCCTCGTTGATAGCATCCTGCGTTGTTGTGGGTGGTAGGCGCAGACGGGGGTTGGCCTACATGCAGTGACGCGCGGGAGGCGGGCACCATACTGCCTGCACTGCAGCCCGCTCCGCCCGCCACACCCCGAGACGCCGCCAGAGGGCCCACGCACGCGCGAGCGTGCCTGGCTGGCAATCCCCTCTTATCTTGGTCTGGCATGCGCCCGTGTACCTCTGGGTGGCAGGGCAGGTTGCTTATGAATGACGGGCGCCCGCGTCCAAGGCGGGGCAGCGCTGCTGTCAAAGTCTCTGAAAGTGGGACGCAACGCCCTCCATGGTTGCCCCTCAAACCCAAGCCTCTCAAACCCGCGCGCACCTGCAGGCAGCCTTTGTCGCAGTACTCAAGGACTGATGGGTTGATTTGCGGGAGTAAACAGGGACAGGGCGTGAAGTTGGCCCTCAGTGACAAACAGCGCAAGATGGCAGTGGGGAGGCTCAAGCAGCTGAGCGTGCGTCGACGTCAGCCTAACTGTGTGAGATTGCCAGGGTATTGCAAGGGGACTCAGCAAGAGCACGCCCTGTTTGAATCTGTCATACATGTTGATCCCAGCCCGTTGCTGCACACGGCAGCCCGAAGCGCTCACCAGGAAAACAACAAACTCGCGGCCAGACCCCCCGCTCACAGCCTCGCTCACCAAGCCATGCCTGCCCCCCCTTGTCGCGCACATGCCCGTCCAGATTACACCTGCTGCCGCTGCCGCCGCCGCCGCCGCCGCCGCCGCGGCCGCCGCCGCCGCCGCGGCCGCCGCCGCCGCCGATGCCGATGCCGATGCCGCTCCTGCTGCGGCCGCCGTTGCCGATCTCGCTGCCGCCGCCCCCGCTGCGGCTGCACGCGCAGCCGGGCGACGCTGCCGCGCAGCCGCCGCCCGTGGCGCGCTTGCCGCCAGGGGTAAAGGAGATTGGATGTGCGATGCATGCCAACCCCTGAAAACCAGAATGCACTGGCACAGCCACAGCTGCAGGCCCAGCGGTACCACCGAAAGTCAATCTTATTAGTGAGGGCGCTGCCACGACCAGGGCGGTGGCGGGGGCGGCGGGCTCGTCGTCTGCACGTTCGAAGGCCCCGGTGGAGCCGCCCGCGTCGAGGCTGCTGCCGCTTATGCTGCAGTAGCTGCTGCTGCCGAAGCTGTCGAAGCTGCTGCTGCTGCTGCTGCTGCTGCTGCTGCTGCTGCTGCTTGCAGTAGTGGCCCCACGGGACATCGCCCTGCTGCGACTTCCTGACAGCTGCCGGTCGGACAACTGCAATGACTCGCCAACAACAGCCGGCTCCGGCCTGGGCAGGTGCGCCTGCGCCCGCAACAGCGCCGACAAATGAGGCGGTGCAAAATGAGGCGGTTCGTTGCATCCTCGGATTGAGGATGCAACGGTGCTCATTCAAGCGATGGGAACCGAGTCTGGTCGTGAAACGGCGGAAGGCCAGGCGGCAGTCGAGGGCGGGGCAAGGCGTTCGCCCCACCGGCAGCGATCCTCGTGCAGCTAGCAGCCTCCGTCAGCTGCCCAAACCTTTTGATAGCCCGGCCTCGCCCCTGACCCACCTCCCCTCGCATGATGCGCCAGGTCAGCGTGGCGACCACGTGGGGATGGTTGAGGGCCCTCGACAGCACTGCTTCCAGGGGCACCTCGCTCCTGCGGTACCTTTCGAATAGGGTGTGTGTGCGGAAAAGAAGGGATGGATGCCGATGCGCGGATGGGAGGTGGGAGCAAAACAAGGGAGCGAGGCGGCCAGGCCGGCCGGTTGTGATGGGGCCGCAACAGGCGGGCGAGGTTGGTGCGGGGGACGGTTTGGCTCCAGGTAGGGGATATCACTGTGCAGGAGCGCATGCTGTCAGGGGCCCAAGGCATTGAGATGGATGACCGGTGATCTGACGAGGCATGCATTCATGCATTGAATGCGAGCGCCAGCTCAGCCGTTCTCACTAGGTCAGCCGTTCTTACGTCTCAAAACCAGCGCACACTGTGTTAGCACACTCCTGGTGATGGCGCCACCCCGGCCACTTCCCACACACGTGCACATGCACGCGCGCCTGCGCTCGCGCGCACGCAGGTATGCGCGCACGCACGCGCACACAGACACACACACACACACAGACAC